AAWKGGGSCAATGTTACCATAGACKATCTTCCACTATAAATCAGTTATTATTTCACATCGATTGGCAAAACCCACGACTCCTTTCGGTCGTGCAATTTTTTTCCAGCAAACTTTCTTGAAATAGGTATACAACGCGCTGATTTTATGTATGCTCACTGAAGAGGCGTTTTAACTCTAAATAATGAATGCACTCCCCATCGGCGATCTCAATAAAGATATAATTTTATATTTTGTATTCTTTRATAAACTAGGAAAGTACGTGAGGAGAAAAAAGTTGCCTCACTGAACATGCGCGTTGGAATCCACAGCGGCACAGTTTTGGCGGGAGTACTAGGTCAGAAAAAGTGGCAGTTTGATGCTTGGTCTAACGATGTTACATTAGCAAATCACATGGAGTCTGGAGGAATACCAGGGTAGGTCTTTTAAACTAGAGGTTCCAATAAAAAAATTGTCATCGAAAATGTGCAATATGAGACCGATAAGAATTATGAGCATTCGCATTATTATTGTAGCATAAGAACTTTTTTGAATGATGCTAGGGGCGCAATAAACCAATTCTATTTTTTGTGTTGTTTTCCCGGGGAATAGTCTTCAATTCGTTTGTGCATAATTAGTCAAGTGAAGTATTGGAATATATGACGTCACGAAAACTGCAAAATGGAGTTTTGAAAGCATTTGCGAGAATAAATAGATCCGACGATAAAACTGCGATAAATTTGAATTAATACTTCAATTCTAATATTCTAACTATTTTTTTAATGCTGTTTTCCCTGTCATCAGCCGTGTGCACATCTCTGACGTCACATACAACTGCATCAAAGAYGATTTCGAAGTCGAAGAAGGAGATGGTCAGTCACGTGACGATTACCTTCTCGAACACAAAGTCAAGACGTACCTTATTACAAGACCAAAGAACCAAGCGGACTGCAATGGCTCGACCTGCAAGGTAAACATCGTTTGTTATTTTTTTAATTACAAGTGAGCTTTCATTGTTCCTTCGTCCTTCGTATACGTGTTTCAGTACTTTCGGAGGCCAATACGTCCGCCATCTTGAAAAGTGAGACCAAAACCACTGCTGTGCCATAGAACACATTTCGTAGTTGCAAAATCCACTAATCTATCGTTATATCGATTTATATTAACTTGACATTAGCTTAGAACCTTTTCATTTCTTTAGAAGTCACAATTTAGTGATTCGAATCCTACTTTTGAAGATGGCGGACGCATTGTTCTCCGAAACTCCTGATGCATGTATACGGTCCATGTATTATACTTGATACGAATGAATATGATTATAGCAAATAGTGGTCTGGGAGACAAATAATTTTTTTCATATATGTCATTGCATTTTCCCATCCATTTAACAGGAGGACCTCGACACGTTAACACTGCCAGACAACACGACCGAAACCAGACGACCGTCTTCTCCCATCATGGAGCTGATCAACACAAACTGGAGCGATAAAGATGAAGACTTTATCATCGAAAAGGATGGCAATAAACGCCGAGTCTCCTCCTGGACGGTAAGATAAGACGAGTTATTTCCGGGGGGGATTGATATATGACCCAGTCTCAATGTGATATCTTGAAGGACGGTGTGCTTGAAATGTTTTCCCTTAATATCGATATATTTAATTTTAGGAGGATTCTGAAAAGTCAGATTCATCAACATCAAGGTATGACACTATTAGTACATAACTGACAGGTATAGACCCCTTGCAGTGAAGTGAATGTAGCTCCAACTTGATGAGGACAAAACAATGGATTCCAGTTTCCAAGTGAGCAAAAATCTTTTGTTTTGTTCTTCAGATGATGAAGCTGTTTTGACTTCACATGTAAGGGGTCTATATTCGTGTCAACCGTCTATATTGTCTCATTGATAGACCTTTTGAATTGGTTATAGGCATTTGAAGATTCACAAAATACAATTTTAAATTTCTTTTTCATAGAAATTAGAACATTTAGGAACATTTACATAGTCTGGAAAAGAATAAAATAGCTTTATTTTACATGATATAAATCGCTCTATCTTTTTCATTTTAGTGATAGAACGTTGAACAAGTTCCTTCGTGAAGTCCTGGACGAACGAACCAATGAGTAAGTGGTCGGATTAATTGGGGTTTTCTTGGTCGATTAATGAAAGGTTTTTGTTTCGAGTAAGAATATGTCCAGATTGATGGATGAAGTCCTTTATGTGGTCGTAATCTTGGTTTTCATTGATCACGCGTTAGTCTACTAAAAGTTTCTCGAGTGTTTTCTGATTATGCTTGGGTACCTAAGCTTGTTACGTTCCCTGATAAAATTTTTGCTCTAAGTCGATTTTCTCCTTGAAGACCTTAAACCAAGCTAATTTTTTTTCTCTTTTGTTTACAGTGGGATGAAAGAGAAAATGAATCCAGTGACCCTGCGATTCAAGAGATATGACGTTGAATATCAGGTAATTTTAGAGGTTGATATTGGTACACTTCAGCTTTCTGTGTTCACTGGTCCAGACTGCGTTGCAAGGCCTTCCTACCCGCTCAAGGTCCGTTTACACCTGCGATTTTTGCAGAGCGATTCTTGCGGCGATCGAGCGCGACCATCACTTGCAACAATCGAAGTAGTTTGCACATACGATTTTAGTTGCGCGATAGCAAAGTGGCGATTATCGCGCTGAAAAAATCGCAAGTGTAAACGGGCTTTCAGTCGGCCTCCAGAAGAAATTATAGAGGAGGAAGGAGAGAGAGTTCCCTCTTTCTTCTTCTGTAGCAGCCTGGAGAGCATACTAACCCAGGCTATCTTAGGTTCCGTACGAATACGCAGAGAAATCTTCCTTAATAAAGTGTTTACAGCCTTAAATTAGACACTACTAAGGCTCTGTTTATGTAAGCTAGGGTGTCCTTAAGGAGATTTCCTACTAATACAAGATTTYATTTTCAGTATGCTCTTGAAAAACAGGACATGAGTTTTGCAGCGTTGTTGTGTCTTTGTATAATAATTCTTTTCTGCTTCTTGGTGGAAGTAACKATCCTTCCCAGGTAAGAAATCATGAATTTTACTTAACTAAAAAGCACAGGGATCCCGTCCAAATATAAACAAAATCGTTGCTATGCAAATGAGATAATAAAAGGTGTTCCAAAGTCTCTTTTGTGTCACTCTACTCGAGGCAGCCGCGAAAGAACGTCGTCTTCATCCCACCCACCCATCCAAGGAAGCTGCCTTTAAATTGCTTTACTACAAGCTTTGGCCTAGGCGTATCCCAAGCCGTCGCTATCCCATAGGCCTTTTCTGAAATAGTATGACGCTTTGCATCGTGGTCTAGATTCGGTACAAACATCTTTTGTTCATGTGGCCAAATATGGTGTTGTTTGTACTGAAACTAGACCACAATGCACCATGATTTCGTATCTCAGAAAAGGTCTATTCCTTATCTCTATATCATAAATAACAATACCCGGGGAAGAATATTACTATATGTTACGTTGTTTTTTTGGCAGTTTTTTGGTGTTTTAGTCTGTGAATTGTTTTGTTATTATGATTATGATGATGATTGTTATCATTATTATTACAGGTCACTAAGAAGCGACTTGACGTTTTCAATAGGACTTATATTGCTTGTTATACCAACGTTATTAACATTTGCCGTTAGATTTCAAAAGGTATTGTTCATTAACTATAATTTACCTAAGAAATAAAGAAATCTTTGAGAATGAACAAATGGCGCACACCAGGGGGTGAGGGAAGGGAACGTTCTGAAGAAATGGCGGGAATTAATATAAAGTGGCACAAGATAAGTGCTAAAAGAGAGACAGATACAACATCGAACTTGAAATTAATATTAGACATACAAAAAAATATTATAATCTCCATTGAGTAATTCTCACAAACGTTTACATGTATAAACATATTTTTAAAATTATTTGCACGGACAAGAAATAAGTTTTACTGGCTCCGGATTCGTGTCTAAAGGATTACGTTTAACAAAAAAATGTATTACCAGGAGTGGGGTTCGAACCCACGCGTACATTCGTACATTGGAACTTAAGTCCAACGCCTTAACCACTCGGCCATCCTGGTTTGATGGAACTAACCGAGTATTTTTGACGGTCCAAGCAATCTAAAGAACTACAGACTTAAAAGAGGATTGAAGTACTGTATAATTTCCGTACTCTGCTACGAAACATTTAGCACTACGTTTTTCTTGTGGACTAATCCAAGCAAGATTCAAAATAGAAGTTCGCGCTGCAAATCAATTCTTTGTATTTCTAGCGTTTTTAAAGGAGAATTTTTTCATTGTATGCGCGTAAAGTTTCTCTTTTACTTTATTTTTCAGAGTTTTGGATGCGTAAGATTTAACTTAGACCAAAATTAATGAACAAATCCAATATTTCCGAGAATAGAACTCAGGCGAAATGTAGAGCGATTAGCAGAGAGCTTGTTATCCCCGTTTCTGCCATTCATTTCTAGTAAAATATCAAAATTTTGATACCAGGAGTGGGGTTCGAACCCACGCGTACATTCGTACATTGGAACTTAAGTCCAACGCCTTAACCACTCGGCCATCCTGGTACTGGTGTTCATGTTTTCAACCTCAAAATATACATTGAATGCCGAAAANAATCTAAAAGAATGTTAAGCATTTCCGCTCGAACCTCTCACTACCTGCTCATTTACCGGAAGTCTAGATTCTTTCCTGGCATGTGTCGTCTCACCAGAGTGATCCTAGCTTTAGTGGGGAATGTTGAGAGAAACACGAAAAAAGCCTAAAGTGACGAGCGCAGCTATTATGTTATAGAAAGTTAGTCCTGCTCACGAGCGTGCATTTACCAGTCAAATGAATCACTCTCTTGGACCAATCAGACCATTACTTTGTATTATTACATCTATACAATAAATCCATATAAATAACTATCCAGCATGCCGCAGATTTTGTAAGTGACCGACTGATACAAAAGGTCTAAAAAGCCAAAATGAAATCAATTTAGAGGGTATATTTCTAAAGAATGTCTTATATTTTATAGCACTACACATGTTCCGAAGAGGTATTTTTGCTCTGTCATTCTTGCTTTGGCGTTTATAATCCTTGCATTGCAYGGCAGACAGGTAAAACAATGAAATTATTTTATATAATTTTCTGTCTTTTTTGCTCTTTTTTCGAAAAATGTGTGGACAATAAGAGTTGCGCGTGCGCTATCTTGCGATACCGCGGATCAAAAATAACATTGTCGGCGACCAATCAGCGTATTTGTCAGTTGATATTCYGCATAAATAAACATTGTCAGCTGTAAAGTATACTAAATACAGGTCTAGGTAAAGAGACTTGTCTAACTCAAACAGAGTCTGAGAAACATATATTTACCTTTGCTTTTTTGTTTGTTTTTGACGGTAACTCCTAATATCACTGTTTGTTCAGTTGGTGCTGTGCTTGACATGAAGTGTAGTCGTATTTCAAGTCTTTTCAACCACTATTTTACATATTTTTTCGTGTCAGGTTGAAAAAACCGCTCGTCTGCTGTTTCTATGGAAGATGGAGGTAAAATCAATGTTGATAAATGTCCACTTTTTATTTGTTTTGCTCCACATCATGTGCTAGCTCCTCCTTTGTAATTTTAATCGACTAAATTTGAACATGCGTCACGGTTTTAATGTTCGTTCAAACCATAGTTAATAGACCTAATCGGCTTCAACCCAATTCWAACCACCCGGGAGTAAGATTCATTGTTCGTTGTATTTTCATTTAACAGTTGAATTCTTAGAAACAAAAGTTCTTTTTCCCACAGGATTTGAATTGGGTGGCAACGTACATAGCAACGCTGTTAGCCGATTAGGTCTATAGTTAACTATGTTCAAACGTATGACGTCATGCTTGTTTGGCGAAGTGCATCACGGTATTGATAAAAGTATAAAGATGGCGACTGTCTTCAAAACTCATTGGGATGAACGATAAAGAAGTTCATTTAAAAACCCAAGATAAATGACAACTYAAATATTATCGACATTGCAATGACGTTTTAATCGCAACTTGAAATTGAACATTYTTGTAAAAAAATTGAAATGCGATATATATGTGTATAATGTCTTTACAACTTARCAACAAAATGGGGCTTACTGTCTATAATTCCCAGGTCTTTTAACTTAGTGTGCATAGATCTTATTTAAGTGTTCTTTAAATGCATTCTCAGCAACGTTAAACATTAAATTCGCAAAGAAACGTCGAAGCTTTTGTAAGAATTCCGCCATCTTGTTTTTTTTTGTCGATACCATGATGCACTTCGTCAACGCAAATATGACGTCATTAGCGCAAAAGATCATTGGTACTGCTTTATGTAATGCCTTRTTACTGTCATGTGACAAAATGGGACGTTTTTTTTATTAGGCCAACCAAAAGAAGAAAGAGGTCGAGGAACTTCGACGGAAAAAYCAAAAGTTGCTGTACAATATTTTACCGAGTCACGTCGCTGATCATTTCCTCAAACATCAATACAAAGATGAAACGGTAAACATRATAATAGATTTTAAAAGAAACTCAAAGAAATTTAGATTCAAATAAATGCCAAACCATCAYATTATGTTCAAAACATTCATGGCTTATTTACATATCACTGGTACCATATTTGGCAGAAAGTCCAAATTTAGGACTCATTTTGTACTATTTACTTGTGCTTGCTCCAGTTGTTTGCAACTGTACAAACTAAATAGTGCTATTTAGTTAATCGTGCATGTAGTACGCAAATTAAATTGAATTGATACAAATGAAGCACTCGATACCATCTTGCTTCAGGTCCACTTTTAGTACAAATTAGTACTACTTAGATTTTGTACRTACAGTTGCACRGTTTAAGTGCGATCACCYTTGYWYTATGAGGATCCACCCACACATACATTCATTGCACAATYAATGCAGTATTGACGATTGTTTCTCCTGTAGGAATTATACAGTCACTCTTATGACCGAGTCAGCGTCATGTTCGCTTCGATAACAAACTTTTCCGAGTTTTATTCAGAAGACAATATTAACAATGGCGGAGTGGAGTGCATCCGACTGCTGAACGAAGTGATAGGAGACTTTGATAACGTATGTTGATTT